GATGGTCTCGATCTCCTGACCTCGTGATCCGCCCGTCTCGGCCTCCCAAAGTGCTGGGATTACAGGCTTGAGCCACCGCGCCCGGCCTGTCTTTCAATTTCTTGAAGTTACCAAGACTTTACGCATGGATTTTCTTCCCCCTGAGGAAAATTCTTTGCCTAGTTACCTCCTAGATACTCTTCCTTGCAGCTTCCCTCTAACCAATTATGGGCTCCGCGAGCACCTGGACTCATATCCTTCAAGAAAGGTCACCATTAACATGGTGATTCCTAATGTATCTTATCATATGCCCCAAAAGGTTCGAAGTTTCTTGAAGGCCAGGATTCTTGTCTTGTTCAAGGTTGTATTCCCAGTGCTTTGTACCTGAGTCATGATAGGCACTTGGTCAATGTCTTGAGTTGAAAAGAAATGAAAACCATAATATACAAACTATCATTATTATTCTTAGAAGAATGTCGGAGGAGTATGAAGAGTTATTCTCTTATGTTTAATTTACCAGCCATCACCTGGACTAAACCAGTGGTTTTCAAAGTGTGTCCCTGGCCTAGCAGCATTAACACCATGTGGAAACTTCTTAGAAACATAAATTCTTAGTTCAATCCCAGACCTACTGATTCAGAAACTTAGGGCATTGTGCTCAGTAGTCTGTATTTTAATAAGCCTCACTGCCAAGTGATTCTGATGCACACTGAAGTTTGAGAAAACACTTCCCATACCTAGTCCCAAGCTTGGGTCATAACATTCAACCATGGGAATATTACAAATCAGAAAAACATTACATTTATAGCAAGATTTGTTTATCTAAATAAATACTTCTCCATCCTGATCCCCCTATCTTCTTCTTCTTCTTTTTTTTTTTTTTTTTTTTGAGATGGAGTCTTGCTCTGTCGCCCAGGCTGGAGTGCAGTGGCACGATCTCGGCTCACTGCAAGCTCCGCCTTGTGGGTTCACCCCATTTTCCTGCCTCAGCCTCTGGAGTAGCTGGGACTACAGGTGCCCGCCACCACACCCAGCTAATTTTTTGTATTTTTAGTAGAGACAAGGTTTCACTGTGTTAGCCAGGATGGTCTCGATCTCCTGACCTCGTGATCTGCCCACCTCAGCCTCCCAAAGTGCTGAGATTACAGGCATGAGCCACCATGCCCAGCCCCCCTATCTTCTTATAGGAGTTTAAGTCAGCAGCAGGCATAAGTTTTGTTAAGCTCCATTTGATAGATAAAAACACTAAGGTTGAAAAAATAAAACCCACTTTCTCGAATGATAAGACTAAAACAGGCAGTGTCAAGGAAGGGATCAGGCCCAAGACTCTTTCCACAGTAACACAAAGTCATTCAGAAGACAGTCAAATAAAACAAGCACCAGAGAATTCAGTTTAGGGGCCAGAAATGTGAATGCATCTTTCCCAGCACTACAATGCTTGCTGATAACGGTAAATAACCTCTCAGGGTTTGGGTTTCTAAGGATGTGAGTCAGTCCTTCATAATAATTAAGGGCAATGGCCCACACAGCTTACAGCGTCATTTTTTTTTAAGGCACAATACCCAATTCATGCCACCCTAAAATGGAATTTGTTTAAACCTGCTTCACATTTGTAGAGGTGAAGAACCCTCACCTCTAAGAAACCTCGCTTCCAGATATAGAGGTCCCAGCACAAACACCTAAGTTTAAGTGGATACAGCAGGGAAAGTTCTGGAAAATAAGGACAAAGCTGGACTCTTGTCTGTGTTTGGGTGGCTGTCTGGCGCCCCCTTGTGTTCAGTGCCTGGACCCAAAAGAGCCGGAAGGCAACAATGATGCAGTGAGGGCAAACGGCTGCAGCAATTCATAAATGGCACTCTGGCCAGTGAAGACCAGAGGAATGGGCTTAGGACTGGGCAAAGGCCGCTCTGCCCACCATCTGGGCTCTCCTAAAGGCCCTCCAAGCACTCTTCCAGCCCCAGTGGAGAAGCAGTCACTAAGAAGGCTTGCCTGGATGGGCACAGGTGGAAGCTGTACCCAAGCTCACCCGTTGTCTCCACCAGGAAGATGGATCATTACATCTTTCTTGCTGGGTGTTTGGCCAGAGGGCTTTTCCTCCTGACTTACTGCCCAGGGTAGAGGCTTAGAGCACTCCCACCCTCCTTTTTTTTGAGACGGAGTTTCGCTCTTGTTGCCCAGGCTGGAGTGAAATGATGCGATCTCGGCTCACCGCAACCTCCACCTCGGGGTTCAAGCGATTCTACTGCCTCAGCCTCCAAGTAGCTGGGATTACAGGCATGTATCACCATGCCCAGCTAGTTTTTACTAGTAGTAGTAGTAGTAGTAGTAGTAGTAGTAGTAGTAGTAGTATTTGTATTTTCAGTAGATGGGATTTCACCATGTTGGTTAGGCTGGTCTCGAACCCCCGACCTCAGGTGATCCACCCGCCTCGGCCTCCCAAAGTGCTGGGATTACAGACGTCAGCCACCATGCCCAGCCCCCACCCCCTTTATTAGAGGGAAATTCAGTGTTCTGCTGAAGACAGCTTGGGCCCCTGAGGAGACATTGCAAGGCAGTTCTGAATGTGCTAAGTCAGTGGGTGATAATGGGCACTGTGTGCCCAGCAAAGGCACTTCCCACCCTCGGCCATAAATAGTCTTTAACTGGTTCACACAGAAGCCTGGGGTTGGCTCTTCCTTCTCACCTGTCCGCTCCCTGACTCCTACACCCCAGGGCTCTACCCTCCCAGTCATATCACCAAATCCTGCCCGTTGTGAAAAGACCATGGCATGTTCAGCACAAAATAGCAATGCCAATGACAAGTGTCCAGGTGTAGCTCTAGCCCCAGAACAGGGCTCCCCTCAAGGAGCAGCCCTGACCTGAACCTTAAATTCTGGTTGGATCCCAGCTCCTCCTCATATAAGCTGAGTTAAACAAGACATATAAATCAGATCACTACAACTCTCTGAGCCCCAGTCTCCTCATAAGAAAAATAGAAATCTCAGCCCTGAAATTAGCCCAAAATGGTTCTAGGGACTATAGAGTTGAATATGGTGGAAAATCTAACAGACAAGTATCCTCTTGCCTCTGAGTCTTTGCACATTCTGTTCCCACTGCCTGGAACAGTTTTCTCCCCTCTCTCCCTCACTTGGCCAGTACCTGTTTATCTTCAGTCTCAGCTTAGACCTCCTCAGGAACCCTTCTGTGTTTCCTTGAGCCAAGTCAAGTTCCCCTCCAGTGGTTCCCATAACTCTCTGTATGTCACCAGTCCCAAAAGTGGTCACAAAATATGTTAACTGGTTGTTTGCTGGTCTGGGACCTCACTGTAATAAACCCCATGAGGGAAGAATAGGGATCATGTCTGCCTTATTCACCTTGGCATCGTCAGGGACCTGTATAGTGCCTGGCACATAGTTGGCACTCAATTCATATGGATTTGACTGGATAGATGGGCTCAGAATGAAACATAGGCTGGGGCCAGAGAGCAGAGGCCAAGTCAGGAAAGCAGCTAAGGGAACGCGTACACATATCCATCCATGACATGGACAGATTTCCACAGTGGCCTGTAGCCCCCGTGTCCATCCTGGAACCCAGTGCTATCTATGCCTGTGAGGACTCTGCAGCAGGTCCCTGGTGCTCTGGCCTGTTAGAGAAAGAAGGAATCTTGGGGGTCATTTAGGCCAGAAGTCCACAGATAGGGCTCAGGCCTTCTCTGCCCAAGCTCTACCAGAGAGGTTCTACTTTTATTCTTTTGTATTTGTTTTTCTCAATGGGGTAGTATTTTAAAATCTGGTTCCATGAGGAGAAGGAGAAAGGTGAAAATCACCTGTGCCCTCATTTTACAAAAGGAAAAGAGACTCTGAGAAGAGAAGGGGTTTTTCTGAAGGTCAAACGGCTCAGTATTGGCATGGGAAGACCCCACATCCTCAACTCCTTACACACTTTTCAGAGGGAGGGAAGAAAATAGGGGATTGTGAATTGGAGTGAAGGGCTGAGTCTGCCTGGAGAGTCCCCAAGCCCAAGGTGCTCCTGTGACACCATCCCATCGTGGGGGATGAGCATCACATACCATTTATGCCAGCATCCTGGGAGAAAGAACTGCAGAGGGGCCCACAGGGCCTGGCCGTGGGATTTCGTGGTCACAGTCAAACACACACACACACCCCCGCACCTGCACTCATAGCTAATCCCCACCCAAACTCCTGCCTGGCCCTGATAACTGTCCCTGGGAATGTTGTCTCCTTAGGCCATGGAGGGCTGAACCAGCTGGGAGGGGCCTTTGTGAACGGCAGACCCCTGCCGGAAGTGGTCCGCCAGCGCATTGTAGACCTGGCCCACCAGGGTGTGAGGCCCTGTGACATCTCTCGCCAGCTCCGCGTCAGCCATGGCTGTGTCAGCAAGATCCTCGGCAGGTAAGCACGAAATTCACCGCGGGCTGCCTTCCCTGCAGGGCTTGACCTCTCCAGCTGACGTCAGGGCAGCTGGAGAATTCCCCTCCCGGGGAATAGGGATTTGCTCCCAATGTCCAGCTTTGGTCCTGAGACCTAAACAGTTATGGTGGTCCTTCTGGGCCTCCACCCCGCCACCATGTTTCTACTGTTTGCCCTTCCTTCTTTCTTTGTCCATTTATCCTTTTACTTTCTCCCTCTCCCTTCTTCTCTTTTGCTCTATGTCTCATTTGCTGTAGGCTGCTCTTCTTCTAAGGCAGGAGAATCTTCCCCAAAGGTCCTCCTCCTACCGAGACTTAGGGAAACTGGGCCACTAGGGAGGGGACACACAGTCAGATGAGCTCCCAAGGTCTAACCCCTACAAGAGGGACATCTGAGTTTATGCTTCTCAAACCGTAATTCCCCAAGACCCCAGATCAGCGCTTCGTAGCCCTGGCAGCACATGAGCGTCACCTGAGGAAGGCTGATTCTAAAAATAGCAATACTGTTTATGCCCCAGCCCAGACCAATTAAATCAGAACTTAAAGGAAATAGGCCCAAATTTTGGTTTATAACTCCCCAACCCGTCCGTCCCCAGCCAGAGACTCTAATTCTCTGCAGCCGGGGTTGAGAACCACTGAACCAAAGGTTCAGGAGAGACCAGGAGCAGCAAAGGCCTGCTTCTGAGCTGACACAGTCACAGATTCCAGTCTGCAAAGCCACTTCCATTAAAAACGCCTCTGTGCCAGAGCTTCCAGTCAGCTCTGTGTGCACGTGCCTGTCCCCCTGCTCTGACCCTGAGGTGGATTTAGGAGGAGGCCTGGACAAGGCAAAGGGACCTGGACTGTTCTTTGAACCGTGAAAAGCCCTGGCTCCCTTCCTGAAGTAGTTAGGGAAAGGTGTGATGCTTTGCTGGGCTTGGGAGAGGGGATTCCTGTGATGGGCTGTGGTGTCCCAGAGGAGATGAGTCCCGGATGGAAGCAACAGATGAATGGAGTTTTAAAGAGCCAGATTCTTTTTCATGCGGATGAGAGCAGACAGTTTCTACAACAAGAAGAGGAGGATATGCTGACATAGGCCGTTGATCTGCCAAAGCAACTACTTGGAGGATAAAGGGAGGGGAAGGGTGGAGGCCCCAGAAGAGGAGGCTCAGCTTAACAAGCTAGACCTGGCTGGGGATCCAAGCAAGGTCAGGATTCCAGAGTCCATGAGGAGAAGCTTCAACTTGAACCTGCTAAAACCTGATAGAAAACTAGTGACCGGGGGGTGAGGGATATGCCTCAAGCTTGGACAGGGCAGGGAGCAAAGGTGAACCAGCAAGATAGAGCAGAGGGTCCAGTGACCTCAGCTAGCTTTCTAAGTGGCCGAAGAAAACAGTCATTGGCTGGTGGCTGATGCTTGTAATCCCAGCTCTTTGGGAGGCCAAAGGCGGGCGTTTCACTTGAGGTCAGGAGTTTAAGACCAGCCAGGCCAACTCAGTGAAACCCGTCTCTACTAAAAATACAAAAATTAGCCGGATGTGGTGGCAGGTGCTTGTAATCCCAGCTACTGGGGAAGCTAAGGCAGGAGAATCGCTTGAACCCAGGAGGCAGAGTTTGAAGTGAGCCAAGATTGTCCCATGCACTCCAGCCTGGGTGACAGAGTGA